TCTCCCCCCCCCCCCCTCTCAGTCTGTCGTTAAACCTCTCTCTCTCTCTCTCTCTCTCTCTCTCTCTACCTGCTACTGCACACCTTTCCATTCCGCTATTGTTCCTATCCATCAACCCTTACCTTTCCCAAGTCATTTTCCCTTTGTTAGTGTGCCTGTAAATCCCTCCACATCAAAGCCACCCTAATAACCTACCCATCAACTTCTGCAGCTGCACAACCCATCCCTTCTACCCAGCCGCACCTCAGAATTCATCCCGTCAACCTTTCCCGACAACCGTCACTGCTGCAGCAGCCACATAAAAGCCACCAGCATTCAACTCGTCACCCAACTATTGCTCGTCCCCCACTTCCACTCTCCCGCCTTAACAATAACCTTCTCATCTGACCCCGACCTGTTGTCCAACCGCCCTCCGCCAGCTTTGCCTTCGCCCTAGGGTGTTATTTTTGTTTGTTATCTTTTATTTCCTATTTTGTAGTCATCGTTATAACGTATTTGAATTTCAACAGTAATATTTGCAATTCTATTGTGGTTTAGGTTAACTCTGGTATCACCTGGTATCAGAACTAGCTTAAACATAGACTTGTACTAGCATTTCCCAGCATCTGTGTTACCCCTCCACCAAATATCTTTTTTTTTTATTCCCAAAACATAGCCAAAATTTTGACCTAACCCTAATTTCACTTTTTGCATCCTCCACCTCCCACTCCAAATCCTAGCAATGCCACCAAGGAGATATATGCTCGAGCCTACTCGTGAATGGATACAACGAAAGATCCGCCGACTTCAACGGGGGTAGCAGACATTGAGAATAAAACCAATAGAGAGTTGAAGGAGAGAACGCGAGAATCTGAAGATCAAATGAGAGATACAACGTCAGTTCTATCAGCTTGCTACAAACAGAGTGTTCAGACCCTAGTTTCAGAAAAGGAAAGACCGCATTACCGAGCGACCACCGCATCATAATGGCAGAGTTCAACCTCAAGATCTTAAACCAGAATACACCCAAGAGAACACCCAAGTTGACCCTGTCAGAGGAAAAGTTGATTTAGAATGGTGAACAGGTGAAACCAATCTGCACTAAATTTGTCACAACAAGCAAGTGTAGAAAATGTCATGAATTTGGGCATAGTTAATTGGATTGCACAACTAGGAGAGTGATCGTTTTCACTAATCAGGGAAAGTTGAAGAAATAAATGGTGATTCGGAAGAAGGTGAAGACTTCAGAGAGTATTCTCAATTTTCAGCCAATGAGGAAGAGACGCCATCGATTGCAATTGATCCCTAAGATAGAGTATCCAACTTAGGTAAAAGTAGTTATTCTAGAAGGCAGTGATTTTGATATAATGACATTCTAGCCGAGTACAAGATTGTGGTGCCTAAAGCTAGGCTTTTGCAGGCGTTGAGGGGAGCATCTACAAAAATGACCTTGGATGTCCAAATGAGCGATGAGTTTGAGGAGCCGAAACCAGATGCAGGACAACCCCAGATAAGAGAAATTATGACTTCGGATCAATAGACTCATCCATAAGTTGCCCTACGGAGGGAGGTTCCGCATGTCAGAAATGAAGCTCTGTTGTGCCACATTGGGAGGATTTCAAAGGGTTATTCAGATGTTAGATTCAATTTAAAATGATACATATCATCAAATGTCCATAGGGGGGATGAATCCCAATGTTGAAATTTGTCTCAGGAGCTTGATGGGAAAGAAAATTCTTCAATGGGATCCAGATACTATCAGTAAAGAAGAGGTCTCTCCTGAGTGGGTGTTAGTGAGAATAATGCAACCTGACAGATTCCACCCCAGCGTTGATCTCTCCTTACATATTGGTTTATCAGCTACATTCTGTTGAATACGAGAAGTAAAAGAAAAATGCTCTGAACTTAAGAGCTCAAGCGTTACATTGCGGGAACATATATTTATATATAGCTCCAGCTCAAAATGTGCTAAAAGATGATCAATATTTATTCTATCAAGACGTGTTATGAAATGACAACACCTACATGATTGAACTACCAACGGATTACAATATCTCTGCTACATTCAACATGGCAGACTTTACTCCGTCCTGCGAGAAGCCAGAAGCTTTGACGAACGAAGTCGAAGATCCCCCAACCTCGGAAGACTAATTTAGGGGCTTGGGGTTGAACCGGTCCCAACTAGAAGAAGCTGCTGGTTCAGCAGGGAGGCTGAACCAGTCGAACCCTGCTTAAGGTTTGAAGTCCTGTCGCTCAAGGGGAGGGGTTCCCCCCTCCAAGTCAACTTTTATTATAAATAGGTTGTCTTATGCGTTAGGGCTAGTTTTTAGCTGAGTGATTCTGTCAGGATAGTCACTGGCATCCCTTCTAAGGTGGGCTGTATCCGACAGCAAGAAGGTGCTCCAGCTATAACTTGACCCGATGTGGTAAGTATCCTTCCCCTTTTGCTTGGCTTGCTCGCTGTCATCCACCCCGCTCTCCTTAACCGTCGCTTCTCCTCCCCTCCAAGTCAGGGAGGCTGAACCAATCGAACCCTGCTTTAAGGTTTGAAGTCCTGTCGCCCAAGGGGAGGGGTTCCCCCCTCCAAGTCATCTTTTATTATAAATAGGTTGTCTTATGCGTTAGGGTTAGTTTTTAGCTGAGTGATTCTGTCAGGATAGTCACTGGCATCCCTTCTAAGGTGGGCTGTATCCGACAGCAAGAAGGTGCTCCAGCTATAACTTGACCCGATGTGGTAAGTATCCTTCCCCTTTTGCTTGGCTTGCTCGCTGTCATCCACCCCGCTCTCCTTAACCGTCGCTTCTCCTCCCCTCCAAGTTGGCAGTCGTTCAACCTATCCTCCCCGATTGTAGACTGTCATTAAACCTATACATTTCTCTATCTACTGTCGCTGCCCCCAATTCCTTCTTGCTACAATTCCCAGCCATCAACCCTCACCTTTCTCCATCCATTTTCCCTTCATTGTTATCGTGGATGCACTCACTTCACCTCATAGCCACCGCAATATCCTACCCATCTACTTTTGCAACCACACTACCGCAAAACCCATCCGTTCCCATTCACACCCCAGAATTCATCTTGTCAACCTTTCCC